ACCAATCACTCCAAATGCAACTTTGAGAGAGTAAATGGCAAAAGGAAACAACTATAACATGAATAAAAGTCGATTTTGCATAATAGGTCAGCTTTAACTAACACTTTATTTTAGCCGAACACATTACGACAAAACAAAATTAAAAGTTTCTGTCAAATTTGAAACTGCGACTTTTTCATGAATTGAGTATAAATCTAGTCATTAAAGTTTCTGACATGTTCTTGTTGCGGCATTGACACAAACCAATGCCCCCCCACCCCTCTGCAGCGCCTCTGGTCCGCCCCCCCGCCCTCCAGTCCCATTGTATTCTTTGTTTTGTTTTTACACATTCATGTTGGCTGTCTTTTCTCCCACTGCTTGCTCTACTGTGCCAACTGTTTGGCGCTGCAGGCTTTGTATACAAAACTGTTTTTCAGATAAGATTCGTTCCATTTTTCTCACCATATCCAGCTAGTGATACCCATGCATCACCTCTGCCAGCCCATGGGGACAGGTGTTTCAATGGTGCAAGGACATTTGACAAAAAACTCCACAACAAAAAACACTAAAATGGAATGACAATCCTCCAGAACTTGGGGCATCCTTCTGTGTTTTGCAAGTTGTGATTTGAATTTTATGAACTTTGTATTGTGGTAGTGCCCCGGGCTGCGGTTAATTTGGGACTGCACATCAGAGTGAGCTGCTGAAGAGGTATAGTGATGTTTTCTGAGGAGTTGTGAACGTACCTCCGTTTTAGATTTGCTGGTAATTACGTATGTCTCGACAACACGCTCTCAAATTATCACACTCCCTTCTCTGTGCATACTTTTCACTGAATAATGTTAAAATACTGATGCAAATTTATCACAGATTTGAATTTCATAATGCAGCAGGAAGTAAACTAAAACAAAGTATACGTGATATGATAAAATAAACCATGTCTTTGAGCTCAGATAGAAGTGGTAATGAAGCAGGTTTTCTGTGATGAAACAGTCTTCCAGGATTTCTGAAGAAGATGAAAAAGGTTGTGAATAAACCTCAGCTGTTCTGGCCACTGCTCATTTCGGGTTAAGTCGTAAAAGTAAACAAAAATAGAATAGAAATATATTACCCTAACATGGAGAATAAATGATAATACCGTATTTTTTCGAACTATAAGTTAAGCAGGGACTCCCATACTTCTTCCACCCCAGACACGTCCCCCAGCACCTCCGGGAAGACTCCAAGGCGTTCCCAGGCCAGCCGAGAGACATAGTCCCTCCAGCGTGTCCTGGGGCTTCCCTGGGGCCTCCTCCTGGTGGGACATGCCCGGACACCTCCAGAGGGAAGCGCCCAGGAGGCATCAGGAACAGATGCCCGAACCACCTCAACTGGCTCCTCTCGACGTGGAGGAGCAGCGGCTCTACTCCGAGCTCCTCCCGTGTGACTGAGCTCCTCACCCTATCTCTAAGGGAGCACCCAGACACCCTGCGGAGGAAACTCATTTCGAGCACTTGTATCCACAATCTCGTCCTTTCAGTCATTACCCAGAGCTCATGACCATAGGAACGAAGATTGACCGGTAAATCAACGGTCCGATACAGCGACCGCAGTTACTGTAGACGCTGCACCGATCCGCCTGTCAATCTCACACTCCGTCCTCCTCTCACTCATGAACAGGACTCCAAGATACTTGAACTCCTCCACTTGAGGCAGGGACTCTCTACCCACCCACGTAATATCAATGATGTTGAATTCTCTCGTCTATTTTCATACATAAGGTGCACCAGATTATAAGGCACATTATGCGAAACAAACGGACGACAATTGAGACTGAGCCCAGGCGTCCGCGATCCATCAGCAGATCGTGGAGTAATTCGCCCCCCGTTGACTCCCTGTCTTGGTGGATGTGTGGGGATGTAACAATATCCAAATCTCACAGTACGATATAATCTGTGTATCATTTGTATCATTAATTTTTCAATATAAAACCAAAAATAAGAAAATGAAAAAAACAACTGTTTTCTTCATTATTTGTCTCCAAAATCAAAATGAAAAAATTTATAACGATTATTTTTTTCAGTTTTCAATTTTGTGTTTAAATGAATACACGTTTCCATGACTTAAACTGCGAATGTCGGTGCTTAGAACTGTTATTTCTTCATGTAGTTTGCACCAAAATGGAGCAAAGGATCATGGTCTATGTCAGGGGTGGGCAAACTTTTTGGCTCGCGGGTCACATAGGGTCCTAAAATTTGCCTGAAGGGCCGGACAGAACACAGTACATGACGTGTTAAGAGCTCAGCTGCATTACAGTCGTATTTATGCTTATGTAGGAAGAGCACTACGACATCGCCGCGAAAGACTCAGAACACATGAAAAATTAACTGATCTGCTCCACTGCAAACCACAGGTGAAGGTGAAATGTGAGCGATTAGGTTTTACTGAGAAACACAGTCCCCACCACAAAGTCACACACACACACACACACACCTACACGTGCAATATAACAAGACTCTTAAGTCGTTCAATGCTCAAGACTTAAAACATGACGTTTACGAAATTTATATCTTTGATTTTAACCAACTCAACATAGAAGCAGTGCAGCCTTATATCTTGAACACCACTACTTCACTCATGGTCTGAATAACTCCTGTAGGAACACTTTCCCATAAAGCATTGCGGCCAGCCGCACCTCAATGCACCATCTACTGGGAAACGCCGGAAATGCATGACAAATAAAACATCAACAAGGTTTATTATTGTAATTTATTCCAGTTCGGCGGGCCGGATTAAAAGGTTTAAAGGGCCGCATACAGCCCCCGGGCCGTAGTTTGCCCACCCCTGGTCTATGTAGTTCCATCTGTCTTTGTAGCTATTGCTGCACCATAACAATGAATTTAAGCAAAGAAACTTGTGATTCGATATATTGTGATGGTCCACAATATTATTGAGACTTTTGATGAAACAATATCACGATATTTTGGTTATTGTTACACCTCTAGGAATGTGTATTATGAATGTGAATTTGGGTGGATAATTTTATTATTATTTTATTTCCTTCGAGGACGACTCAAATATACATTGAGTAATAATGTGTTTAATGCAGTTTTGCGCACATTTGTTTATGTTTTACAGAAACAAAATTCACAACGATATGGCTGATTTGCATAAACTATAAGCGCTGAAAAAAACTGCTCGCTCCTTGTGCACTGATGCTGTCAGCTTCTGTCGGACTAAAGCAGGGGTCTCCAACCTGTAGTTTGAGAGCCACCAGTAGCTCTCCACCCCCTTCCAAGTAGCTGAATAAGTAGAATTTGATTAATTAAATACCTTTTACTGTTGTATATGTATTATTTTGATGTCTAACTTTGTGCACTAATAGATGGATATGGTTTATGTTTTATAGGCATCTAACTTAGGGTGATCAGATTTTCAAAATACAAAAAAACTGAGACACCCTCGGTTTGAGGTGGTTGGTAATAATTAAATTGTGAATCAAGTGCGTAATTCAGTAAAACTTTTCTGCACTCGGCCCATTCGTGACTAACGTGAGTCAGTATAGCCATATTTTCTTTCATTTTTAAGCAGCTTTTCTGTATTTTACTTAAACAAATGACAATTTATGCATCTCTCTACAGTTAGCAGGGATCAAATTGGTCAAAAATAGGGACACCTGGGAGATTTCTTGTATAAAACTGGGACAAATGACTGCTTTGTATAAATCTGCTGCTACTTGCTGAGGCTCTTTTATGTACTAAATTTCTTGTGACCGCTAAAACTAGTCGCTCTCTGACATTTTTGTTTTGTAAAGGTAGCTCACTGGAGGAAAAAGGTTGGAGATCCCTGGACTAAAGGACGCGACTCAGTGGAATATGTGTGTTTTTTCTATGACAGAGGATGTGCTGCTGATGATGAGTCTATTCTGTGCTTCTATCACATTGGAGGTGGTTCATGTGAAACTTTTCAGAGATTAAAAGTCTGCAGGTTATAGCATAAACATAGTGGTACAGATTTGTAGTTTATCAAAGTCGTACTAAAACATTCTGACAGATTTTTGAGCGCTGTGTACCACATAAAATCAGTTAAAAGTCAGTAAGCACAATCAGAATTAATACATAAGGCGCACTGTTGATTTTTGACAAAATTAAAGGATTGTAAGTGCACCTTATAGTCCGAAAAATACGGTAAGCATCAAGTTGAGAATCCGATCTTCATTTTTTAAATTTTATTTAATTTAAAGGTACATATTATGCAATTTTCTGATGTTATAATGTTGTTTCCTCATCACAGACAGACCTGGAGTTGTGTTTTGTTTCATTCACACAAACGTTTTAGCCTGTGTTCTTCTCTTAGAAGGAAAACACCTTGTGATGTCATGTGGTAGTACATGCAGTGCTCCACTGTGTTTTTAAAATCCATACACCTTCACTGTAATGATCTGGATGATTTCAGTCCTGGAATTGCCAATCTTTACTAAACGAAAGGTAAAATTTAGCTGAAAACTACCAATTCATGACATTGCAAGGCAGAACTGAGCATTTTGAGCTTTGGAGATGTAGAAATCCTAAAAATAAAGGATTATTCAAACAAAACCTGATACATTTTTGATGAGGTAACAACATTATAACATGGTTTGAAGCTCACAAGAGTCAATTTTCCATAATATAGGACATTTATTTACTTTTTATTAACTGCTGAATGTATAAAGAAAAGCAAAAACGCACAGAAAACGGTATTCACTCGATATGCACAGTGCGTAATGTATAAACAGGCGACGCCACAAATCACTAGCCTCATTACGACTTAAAACAAATGAAGATAGCAGCTAGTTTAGCACATTAAAACTGAGTGTTTTATTATCCTCCTTTAAGATCTATTAGAGAATGCACAAACTGGCGCGTTATAAAAATGTAAGTTGTTAAAATGAATGCCTGAGTTACTGCGCTGGCTCTGGGCTGTAATGCGTCTGTGGCTTTTTAACCGGTTTCCCCTCACAATGAAACAGATGGGTATGAAATATGGGGTCACGGGAGTCTTACCCTGTAGCAGAGACGTTGCCGTGGTTACCGTTTCGGGGACACCATCCACGCTGTAGATGGATTGCAGGAACTCGGGGATGCAGTCGTTCTCGTCGGTTATCAACACCTGAACCTGATTAGTGTTGGAATTTTAGAAGAAGGAGAGGAGAAAAGAGAGAGAGAGAGAGAAGGAGTTAAAATTAGCAAATCATCCAGGTGACAGCCATTCGAAATACGAAAACACTAACTAGACCAATGCTATTTATCGCCCTTGTTAGGAGTCCAAAATAGAAATGCTCCACTGTGTTTTGAGACTCACTAGAATCATTTCACCTGGACTGTTAAACCACTACTCTGTGACAGTTCCCCAGGTCTAAACCAGGTCTAAACCAGGTCTAAACCTGGACTAAAAAAGGGTGAAAACCAGGGCGAAAACCAGGGCAAAAACCAGGAGTAAACTAGGACTAAACCAGGTCTTAACCAGGACTAAACCAGGACTAAAAAAGGGTGAAAACCAGGGCGAAAACCAGGGCAAAAACCAGGAGTAAACCAGGAGTAAACTAGGACTAAACCAGGTCTTAACCAGGACTAAAAAAGGGCGAAAAACTGATCTAAACCAGGGCGAAAACCAGGTCAAAAACAAGGACTAAACCAGGAGTAAACTAGGACTAAACCAGGTCTTAACCAGGACTAAACCAGATCTAAACCAGGACTAAATTAGGGACTAAATCAGGGACTAAACCAGATCTTAACCAGCTCTAAACCAGATCTAAATCAGGTCTAAACCAGGTCTAAACCAGGTCTAAACCAGGACTAAACCAGGTCTAAACAAGGACTAAACCAGGTCTAAACCAGGACTAAACCAGGACTAAACCAGGACAAAACCAGGACTAAACCAGGTCTAAACCAGGACTAAACCAGGACTAAACCAGGACAAAACCAGGTCTAAACCAGGTCTAAACCAGGACTAAACCAGGTTTAAACTAGGACTAAACCAGGACTAAACTAGGTCTAAACCAGGTCTAGACCAGGACTAAACCAGGACTAAACCAGGTCTAAACCAGGACTAAACCAGGACTAAACCAGGACAAAACCAGGTCTAAACTAGGACTAAACCAGGACTAAACCAGGACTAAAACCAGGACTAAACCAGGTCTAAACCAGGACTAAACCAGGACTAAACCAGGTCTAAACCAGGACTAAACCAGGACTAAAACCAGGTCTAAACCAGGTCTAAACCAGGTCTAAACCAGGACTAAACCAGGTCTAAACTAGGACTAAACCAGGACTAAACCAGGTCTAAACCAGGACTAAACCATTACTAAACCAGGACTAAACTAGGTCTAAACCAGGTCTAGACCAGGACTAAACCAGGACTAAACCAGGTCTAAACCAGGACTAAACCAGGACTAAACCAAGACAAAACCAGGTCTAAACTAGGACTAAACCAGGACTCGACCAGGACTAAACCAGAACAAAACCAGGTCTAAACCAGGTCTAAACCAGGACTAAACCAGGTCTAAACCTGTACTAAACCAAGACAAAACCAGGTCTAAACTAGGACTAAACCAGGACTCGACCAGGACTAAACCAGAACAAAACCAGGTCTAAACCAGGTCTAAACCAGGACTAATCTTGGACTAAACCAGGACTAACACTAACTCGACCAATACTATTTATCGCCCTTGTTAGGAGTCCAAAATAGAAATGCTCCACTGTGTTTTGAGACTCCGTACGACTTCACTAGAATCATTTCACCCGGACTGTTAAACCACTGCTCTGTGACAGTTCCCCTATAAATGATCTACTGCAGGGGTTTTCAGACTGGGTGAATGTGAGCCTCCCTTTAGAGCAGGTAAAGACAGACGAGCCCCGCCTTCTCCAAAATCCCCCCCCCCCCCCCCCCCCCCACACACACACACACACACACACACACACACACACAGGTTTTTGAAGTAAATGCATCTTTTGTGTTCCTGGCAATGATGAGTTTCAATAACAACTGATCGTATATATATTTTTTTTATATTGTATTTTAATATTTTTTTACAAGTGCATTCATAAACTATTTTTACAACAGCAAATAATTTCCAACTTCATGCAGGTTTAATAGAGGCGACTTTTAACAACACTGAACATCTCTAGGTCACCAGGACTAAACCAGGTCTAAACCAGGTCTAAACCAGGATTAAACCAGGTCTAAACCAGGTCTAAACCAGGATTAAACCAGGTCTAAACCAGGTCTAAACCAGGACTAAACCAGGTCTAAACCAGGTCTAAACCAGGATTAAACCAGGTCTAAACCAGGTCTAAACCAGGATTATACCAGGTCTAAACCAGGATTAAACCAGATCTAAACCAGGTCTAAACCAGGATTATACCAGGTCTAAACCAGGTCTAAACCAGGATTATACCAGGTCTAAACCAGGTCTAAACTAGGTCTAAACCAGGATTATACCAGGTCTAAACCAGGTCTAAACTAGGTCTAAACCAGGATTATACCAGGTCTAAACCAGGTCTAAACCAGGATTAAACCAGGTCTAAACCAAGATTATACCAGATCTAAACCAGGTCTAAACCATGATTATACCAGATCTAAACCAGGTCTAAACCAGGTCTAAACCAGGATTAAACCAGGTCTAAACCAAGATTATACCAGATCTAAACCAGGTCTAAACCATGATTATACCAGATCTAAACCAGGTCTTAACCAGGTCTAAACCAGGATTAAACCAGGTCTAAACCAGCTAAACCAGGTCTAAACCAGGTAAAACCAGGTCTAAACCAGGTCTAAACCAGGATTAAACCAGGTCTAAACCAGGTCTAAACCAGGATTAAACCAGGTCTAAACCAGGTCTAAACCAGGTCTAAACCAGGTCTTAGCCAGGACTAAGCCAGGACTAAACCAGGACTAAGCCAGGTCTAAACTAGGACTAATCTTGGAATTGAGAGAGAGACAGAGAAAAACAAGCCTGTGGAGCAGGGTGCCAGCAAAGCATGATTGGGCAACAGCCCTGTTGGGCACGGACTCTGCACTGGAGCTCTGCTCTGGAGCTCTGCACTGGAGCTCTGCGCTGGAGCTCCGCACTGGAGCTCTGCGCTGGAGCTCTGCTCTGGAGCTCTGCTCTGGAGCTCTGCGCGCTGGAGCTCCGCTCTGGAGCTCTGCGCACTGGAGCTCCGCACTGGAGCTCCGCTCTGGAGCTCCGCACTGGAGCTCCGCTCTGGAGCTCTGCACTGGAGCTCTGCTCTGGAGCTCTGCATAGCACCTTCACTGGAGCTCTGCATCACTCTCTGAACTCATTTGACTTGGAATTCCCAAACTCTACTGAACTAAATCTACCACTATATGACATCACTAATCGAGACCAAGACCAGTCCGAGACCACACGGTCCCAAGACCAAGACAAGACCAAGACTTTTAATGTCCACAGCCCATCAAAACCAAATCCAGACCATCTTTGTTATTTTCAACATTTATTTGTATTTTACAGATATTTTGGCACATGTATATCAAAGTTTTTATGAATCTATCTCCATTTTATCTCCCGTCGAGTGTCAGACCTCAAGACCGAGACAAGACCGAGACAAGACCGAGTCCAAACACAGTCACGACCGAGACAAGACCGAGTCCAAACACAGTCACGACCGAGACAAGACCGAGTCCAAATGCAGTTGAGTCCGAGACAGGGCCAAGTCAAATGCAGTCAAGTCTGAGTCAAGACCGAGTACAAACGCAGTCAAGTCTGAGTCAAGACCGAGTACAAACGGAGTCAAGTCTGAGTCAAGACCGAGTCCAAATGCAGTCAAGTCTGAGTCAAGACCGAAGTCCAAATGCAGTCAAGTCTGAGTCAAGACCGAGTCCAAATGCAGTCAAGTCTGAGTCAAGAGTCAAGCAGTCAAGTCTGAGACAAGACCAAGTCCAATTGCAGTCGAGTCCGAGTCAAGATCGAGTCCAAATGCAGTCAAGTCTGAGTCAAGCCCGAGTCCAAATGCAGTCAAGTCTGAGTCAAGACCAAGTCCAATTGCAGTCGAGTCCGAGTCAAGACCGAGTCCAAATGCAGTCGAGACCGAAACAAGACCGAGTCCAAAAGCAGTCAAGTCTGAGACAAGCCGAGTCCAAATGCAGTCGAGTCCGAGACAGGGCCAAGTCCAAGTCAAGTCTTGAGACCGGTCCCGAGTCCAGTAGTAGAGACAAGACAAAAAAACAGTCTTGAGGCTTTACACAACAATATTGCTTTATCTGGAATGTTCCGCAGTATGGCATTAAACCTTTCTACCTTCATGGACATCAAACCAGACCAAGTTACAGGTCAGATCTGTGGAGAGGCGACCCCACTCACAGTCAGAATCTGTTTTTCAAGGCATTTTTGAGCTATAAAACCACTTGTAATCAAATAAATGTAAAGTAGAGCTGTTTAATGTCACACTGTGGGACATTCCCGGCAGAACGACGACATGTAAAGAGAAACACGCAGGTTACGGACCCCGAGCCAAAAAGCGACACATCGCACCTTTAAAATTAGCAGTGTTTAAAAGCGCTTGCATCCAGGTGGCAGCCGTTAGAAACACGAAAACACTAACTGGCCCAATACTACTTATCGTCCTTGTCAGGAGTCCAAAATAGAAATGTTCAGAGCATACGTGTGTTTTCATGGTGTGTATTTTTAAGCCCTGAGCTGCTCCCCACCCTGTCACTGCAGTGTGTAAAGTGTGAAGTGACAGCTTGAGTAATAGTCCTGAAATAGATGGAATAGGTTTTTCCTTTTCCCTTTCTTTCCCAAGCAGCACTGCAAAGACTATTTTTTTTATATTCTCTCACATCTGTATTGTAAGACGAAACTGTTGCTTGATAATTGAGTAACAAAACCTCTCGAATCAATAATTTAAGATTCCACCGAATGCATGAATAGTGATCTGGTATTATTTGAATGAGGTTCCTGGATTGTGCTCTGTATTTTACGTGTGTGATTTCCAGATCAAACCTGACGAAAAAGAACGGAGAAGGGGGAAGCTCACGGGAGTCAGTTTCGGGTCATGCAGGTGCAGTGTTTAAAGGTGCACTGCGTAACTTGGCTGCTGGAGGGTCCGTCACATGCTTGTTTCCATGGAGATGTGCCCAGAATGTTCCACAGT